ACACTGACCTCTCAAAGTAGCTCGTTACCCAACACACTGACCTCCCCAAGTAACTCGTTACCCAACACACTGACCTCCCCAAGTAACTCGTTACCCAACACACTCTCCTCTCAAAGTAGCGCGTGACCCAACACACTGACCTCTCAAAGTAGCGTGTTACCCAACACACTGACTTCCCCATGTAACTCGTTACCCAACACACTGACCTCCCCAAGTAACTCGTTACCCAACACACTCTCCTCTCAAAGTAGCGTGTTACCCAACACACTGACCTTTCAAAGTAGCGTGTTACCCAACACACTGACCTTTCAAAGTAGCGCGTGACCCAACACACTGACCTTTCAAAGTAGCGTGTTACCCAACACACTGTCCTCTCAAAGAAGCTCGTTGCCCACCACACTGTCCTCTCAAAGAAGCACGTTGCCCAACACATTGACCTCTCAAAGTAGCTCGTTACCCAACACATTAACCTCTCAAAGTAGCTCGTTTCCCAACACACTGACCTCTCAAAGTAGCTCGTTGCCCAACACACTGTCCTCTCAAAGAAGCTCGTTGCCCAACACATTGACCTCTCAAAGTAGCTCGTTACCCAACACATTAACCTCTCAAAGTAGCTCGTTTCCCAACACACTGACCTCTCAAAGTAGCTCGTTACCCAACACACTGTCCTCTCAAAGTAGCTCGTTACCCAACACATTGACCTCCCCAAGTAACTCGTTACCCAACACATTGACCTCCCCATGTAGCTCGTTACCCAACACACTGACCTCCCCATGTAGCTCGTTACCCAACACAGTGACCTCTCAAAGTAGCTCGTTTCCCAACACACTGACCTCTCAAAGTAGCTCGTTACCCAACACACTGTCCTCTCAAAGTAGCTCGTTACCCAACACAGTGAACTCTCAAAGTAGCTCTTTGTCCAACACACTGACCTCTCAAAGTAGCTCGTTGCCCAACACACTGTCCTCTCAAAGTAGCTCGTTACCCAACACATTGACCTCTCAAAGTAGCTCATTGCCCAACACACTGACCTCTCAAAGTAGCTCGTTGCCCAACACACTGTCCTCTCAAAGTAGCTTGTTACCCAACACACTGTCCTCTCAAAGTAGCTCGTTACCCAACACACTGTCCTCTAAAAGTAGTTCGTTACCCAACACACTGACCTCTCAAAGTAGCTCGTTGCCCAACACACTGTCCTCTCAAAGTAGCTCGTTACCCAACACACTGCCCTCTCAAAGTAGCTCGTTACCCAACACACAGTCCTCTCCAGGTAGCTCGTTACCCAAAACACGGTCCTCTCAAAGTAGCTCGTTACCCAACACACTGACCTCCCAAAGTAGCTCGTTACCCAACACACTGTCCTCTCAAAGTAGCTCGTTACCCAACACAATGTCCTCTCAAAGTAGCTCGTTACCCAACACACTGTCCTCTCCATGTAGCTCGTTACCCAAAACACTGTCCTCTCAAAGTAGCTCGTTACCCAATTACCCGACCTCTCCAAATAGTTAGCTTGCCTAAACACTGGAATTTGTCTTTTTTATTTTTTAAAGTAGCCTTGTCAATGATCATTTCCACCAGCCCTCTTACACACCAGTCGATTGTTAACAAACCTAGTACGTAACTACACATGCCCCCCAAACAAGTGGCAGACGTATCGATTCCTCCCAACGATTTCCTTCTGGCGTGTACTTGAGACGGGCTCAACTTGGTTTTTGTTTTTATTGTTTTATTTTTTTTTTATATGACATATCATTTATTAAACATGTCATTTCTTTTTCTCTCCTGCTGTTTAGTGGGGGGGGGGGGGCAGTCGAATGGGTGGGCTGAACTGGGTCATATTTTAAAGGGTAAAAAAAATTAAAAATTATTACGAAATAAAAATATTTAAGACTCTTCAACAAGACCTTTTCAAGCTTAGTGTGTTGGTTTTTTTTTTGGAATCCGGCTAATTTAAGTTGAAAATAGCGTGTTATTATTTTTATTAAAATATATATGAGCATGGTTTCCTTTTATAAATAAACAATTTAATTTTTAAACCAGTTTTTAAAAGTCCTTTAATGTGTGATAGACCTGTCACGTGATTCTTTTGTTTGTCAGTACTGTATCTCTTTAAAAAAAAAAAAAAAAAAAAA